GCAATTTCATGAGTTTGATTCTTTATGTCATGACTCATGAGTTTACACTTCTGTTTTTCATGTTTTATCTTTTATGCCATGAGTGTAATTCTTTTTTAATTTATTCACAGATGGCTAATAGCCCTAATCCTGATGAACCCATTGATCTTTCGGATTCTGATTCAGATGATGAAGTCTCTGATTCTCATCAAACGGAATCAAAGAAGAAAACCTCTAATGTCACCTCGCTGAATAAGCCTGGAATTCATTTCAAGCGCCAACGAAAGCTCACTTCAGATGTGTGGGCAAATTTTGAATTCCTTGATAAACCTGACGAACAAGGTAACATCATTTGCAAGTGTAAAAAATGTGGGCAGAAATATAATGCTGAAAGTAGGCAAGGAACTGGTAATTTAAAACGCCACATTAAGAAATGTAAAAAAAGGACCTTTAAAGATGTGGGTCAGATGATTATTGATTCAAGCAGTTCTGGTTCTATGATGAATAGGGTTCCTACAATTGATTATGATATTGTTCGTGAGATGTTGTCTATTGCTGTGGTGAAACATGATTTGCCTTTTCAGTTTGCTGAATATAGTGCTGTTAGGAAGTTGATTAATTACATAAATCCTGATGTTAAACTTGTGTCTCGAAATACTTTGAAGGCTGATGTTCTGAAAATGTTTAAGAGGGAAAAAGATAAACTTAAGGAGGAGTTGAGTGAAGTTAAGGGTAGGATTTCTCTTACATCTGATTGTTGGACTTCAATTACTACTGATAGTTACATGTCTTTGACTGCCCATTTTGTTGATAATCAATGGAATTTGCAAAAAAAATTCTGAACTTTCGTTTTTTGCCTCCACCTCACACCGGTGTCCATATGTCTGACCATGTCTATGATTTGCTTAAAGAGTGGGGTATCCAAAAGAAAATCATGTGTATTACTCTTGATAATGCTTCCTCTAATGATGTGTTTGCTGATGTAATTAAAAATGAACTTGATTTGGTATGTGGGGGGGATTATTTCCATGTGAGGTGTTGTGCACATATCCTAAATTTAATTGTGCAAGATGGGTTAAAAGAAATTAATGAGGCTGTTGTTAAGGTGAGAGAAACTGTGAAGTATTGTAAAGGGTCTCATGCTAGAAAGCAACGTTTTTTGACTTGTGTGGCACATGTTGAACTAGACTCAAGTAGAGGATTGAGACAAGATGTCCCTACTAGATGGAATTCAACTTATTTGATGTTAGAGAATGTTTTGTACTACAAAAAAGCTTTTCTTCATTTTCAAAAGGTTGATGCCAATTACATTCATTGTCCAACAAATGAGGAGTGGGGGAGAATAGAGAAGTTATTCAGATTTTTGAAGGTCTTTTTTGATGTGACAAATGTTTTTTCGGGTACTAATTATCCTACCGCTAATGTATACTTCCCAAATGTGTTGAAAATCCGTTTACTCTTGAAAGAGGAGCTTGAAAATTCTGATAACTTTATGCATAGGATGGCAGCAAGAATGAATGAGAAATTTGCTAAATATTGGACCAACTTTAGCATAATCATGGTTGTGGTTGTTGTTTTAGACCCTCGATTTAAGTATGAGTTTGTGGAGTGGGCTTTTAAGAAGGTGTATGGGGAAATAGAGGGTACTAATGAGTTGGTGAAGTTTAAGGAAAGGTTGGATTATTTATATGGTGCTTATGTGACTGAGGCTTCCACAACAACACCACGAACAAGGCGTCGTTCTTCTAGACAGCCTAATGAAGAGCAAGTTGATGTTGCTTCTGATTCTTTTATGATGGTAACTGTGAACACTTGCTTTTTGTTTGATAATCAGCTTTAAATTCTGTTTTTTGTATGCTTTATTGTAATTTTTGTTTAAACATCTTTTAGGACTTTGATAACTTCTCTTCTAGCAAATCATATGTTCCTGCTAAATCTGACTTGCAAATCTACTTGGAAGAGCCATTGATTCCTCGTGCAACCAACATTAATATTCTATATCATTGGAAAACAAATGTTGTGAGGTATCCAATTCTTTCAAAGATGGCAAGGGACATCCTTGCAATCCCTATTTCAACAGTAGCTTCAGAAAATCTGCCTTCAGTACTGGTGGTCGAGTTTTGGACTACTATAGAAGCTCTTTGAAACCAAACACAGCAGAAGCAATCATTTGCCTCAAAGATTGGACTTTTGGTGAAGGTATGAAAATAGTTTATGTATTTAAAATTACAATTTTTTTTGTTTCTTTTGTGTACTATTTTATTTATGCTTAAGGCTGAAATTAACTTTTGTATGTATTCTTTTGGTTGTAGCTAATATGGATCCGCAATTGCAAGATTTATGTGGAAAAATCATGGCCATGAAAGTCAACGATGATGTGGGGGATACTCCCAGTCCCAGCCCTCCACAAAGTGCACCAGAAAGTCCTGCTGTCATGGAGAGTCAAACCTGATTATGTTGTTAATTTCTTCTAAAATTAGTTGATGAAACTGTTACTGTTATTTTGGACATGTATTTGGTTTTCTAGTTAGAACTTTTATTTGCCTACTTAGAAGTATTTTGGACATGTAACTTTTGGAAATATTTTGGACTTGTTGGCTGGCTACTTTTCAAGTTTTAGTTGCTGATGTGAGTGTATGAAACTATGAAGTATGGACAATGCACTAATGCTGCAGGATTTTCTTGAATTATGTTGTTAAGTTATGTTTGCTTGAATTATGTGTTGAATTTGAAGTCTTGAATACTTGAATCTTACAGGTTAAAGAAATTAGTCAAATTACAGGTTAAAAAAATTACAGTATAAAGAAATTAGTAAATTACAGGTTTTTATTTTATTTTTTTTTAATTAAAAAAAATCAGGTTTAGGCGGGTCGGGTTCAGGTCGACCCGTTTATAATCAGGTCGGGTTCAGGTTGGTTTTTTTGACCTGTTTAAGTAAACAGGTCGGGTTCAGGTTGGGGGGGGGGGTCCTGACCCGTTTATGTAAACAGGTCGACCTGAACCTGACCCGACCCGACCTGTTTGCCAGCCCTACTCATAAGCCCTAAGGGGCGTTAAACACATTATCGCCCATCCAAGGGGCTCAATAGCCCCAAGGGGCGCCAAACATATATCGCCCACCCAAAGGGCTTGGCTGCCCCAAAGGGCATCAAACATAATAAATACAAGTAAACATAAGTGAGCCAGACAATCTGTTTCTTCATTGATGTTGCTTTAAATACAAGTCTACTTGAAAATAAAGGGATACAAAAACAAGGAAAAGCAATAAAAAAGGAAACTAGTCCTAATGAGAATGAGAGCTAGAAGCAACATCCTCGGAAGCATCATCCTTAGAACCACCCTTTTTCAGCACATGATATCGATGATTGTCCAAGGGGGCATTGATCAACAGTTGGTTGATTCTCTTGGGCTTGACTACCTTGACCCTCATCACAGAGCGAGAAATTCTTCATCACAAGCTCGCTCTTGAGGATTTCTTGGTACTTGCCATAGAGAGGCTCGAACTGAAGGTCAGGGTGAACAAGTTCAAAGGCAGCCTGTAGGCGACGGACTCCCGTTTCTTGCCCTAAATCGTTAGCTTCGACGCACTCTTCTTCAAGGTGGGCCCGGCCATCTGTTGTTTGGAGCCAAGCCTTCGCTATCTCTTGTTGAGTAGCACCAGTCGCCTTCAATTGCTCCTCATGGCCAACTTTTCCTCTGCGGACTCCTCTGGAGTCGTCTTCAACTGTTCCTTGACCTGATTCTTTTCTTTTCTGGAAATTCTTTGTGATAGTTGTTTTCTTAAGCCTCGTCATCTCTTCGAGCTGCGACCGTAGGTTGGCAACTTGCTCCTTAAGCGAATTGACTTCTTGCATAAGTGCATAATTTTCCTTAGCTAAGCCTGTGACCATAAGCCCTCGCTGTGCAAATGCGGCGGCTCGTACCGAATACTGAAGATGATGAAGTAAGGGCGTGTTAATCACGGTACAACAGTGAAAGTAACAATAAGGAAAAAGAGGGTCACAAACCTCAGCCCATGATTGTTGCATGATCTTAAACTCTTCCTCGTGATCCAATCCTTTAAAGTGGTCCGCATACTGAGTAGGGCCTCGCTGAGTAGGGCATGATCTTAAACCTACGGTCGCAGCTCGAAGAGATGACGAGGCTTAAGAAAACAGCTATCACAAAGAAGTTCCGGCTCAGAAAAGAAAAGAATCAGGTCAAGGAACAGAGGAAGACGGCTCTAGAGGAGTTGGAGTCCACAAAGGAAAAGTTGGCCAATGTTGAGGAGCAATTGAAGGCGACTGGTGCTACTCAACAAGAGATAGCGAAGGCTTGGCTTCAAACAACAGACGGCCGGGCCCACCTTGAAGAAGAGTGCGTCAAAGCTAACGAGTTAGGGCAAGAAACGGGAGTCCGTCGCCTACAGGCTGCCTTTGAACTTGTTCACCCTGACCTTCAGTTCGAGCCTCTCTATGGCAAGTACCAAGAAATCCTCAAGAGCGAGCTTGATGAGATGATGAAGAATTTCTCGCTCTGTGATGAGGGTCAAGGTAGTCAAGCCCAAGATCAACCAACTGTTGATCAATGCCCCTTGGCCAATCATCGATATCATGTGCTGAAAAAGGGTGGTTCTAAGGATGATGCTTCCGAGGATGTTGCTTCTAGCTCTCATTCTCATTAGGACTAGTTTCCGTTTTTATTGTTTTTCCTTGTTTTTGTATCCCTTTATTTTCAAGTAGACTTGTATTTAAAGCAACATCAATGAAGAAACAGATTGTCTGGCTCACTTATGTTTACTTGTATTTATTATGTTTGATGCCCTTTGGGGCAGCCAAGCCCTTAGGGTGGGCGATATATGTTTGGTGCCCCTTGGGGCTATTGAGCCCCTTGGATGGGCGATAATGTGTTTAACGCCCCTTAGGGCTTATGAGCCCCTTGGATGGGCGATGACGTGTTTGGTGCCCCTTGGGGCTAATGAGCCCCTTGGATGGGCGATGATGTGTTTGGTGCCCCTTGGGGCTAATGAGCCCTTTGGATGGGCGATGATGGTAAACTTGTAGCTTAGTGGTAAAATGGAAATGAAAATTTTACTTTGAAGCCAAGGAAGATAGCATGCGCATACTATCTTCCTTGGGGCGCATGCTATCATTCGAAATTCCTTTGGGGCTAATGAGCCCCTTGGATGGGCGCTAATGAAAATTTTACTCATTGCCTTCTTGAAGGCTGAGCTTGGTAATCTTCGGGAGTCGTACTAGAGCTTTGCCCTGGTATCCGGGGCCGAGGTAACTTTCCCCTGGGTCAAAAATGACAAATCAGTGAGATTCAAACCATTAAATGCATTCAAAGTCAACAAAGATAGCTTACCAAGGGTGGGGGAGGTATCTCCCTGGTTCCGTTCTTTAGTAACTTCCTCACCGCGGCAGCTTGCAGGGCTTTCTGAGTTTTCAATGCTTCTGAATCCATGAATCCTGCTCGGAAGTAGGAAAAAGTTAAAACAGCAACACAAAGATACCTATAATTATAATGCGTGCAGAAGACCCCCCTCTAGCATACCCTTTGAGCGGAAGTCAAGGCCAATTGTACAAAGCTTCTTTTCATCCTCTAGAAAGGCTCGGTTGGGTATCCAATTCATGGGTAATTGAACAGCGTCGCCATTGACCACGAGACCCTTAGTTTTCAACAAAAGGGCAACTACAGCTTCCTTCCTGTTCATGGGTGGAACGTCGAAATTTAAACTCAAATTGGGTTCCCCTAAATTCGGGATCAATGGGATGTCCCAAGTACGACAGTAAACAAACATAAACAGGCCACGCCAGTGTTTGACGTTTGATTGTTGGTCGTGCACCACTTTGTAACCATTGCGGATGCGAAAGGCCCACCAGCCAGGACCGAAATCCTTGGAGGGTATCAATTTGAACAAGTTTCTCCAAAGCCTTCAAGTTGGGAGTTTGCCCTATCATGGTACAAACCACCAAAAAAGAGTACACTTTTAGCCAAGAGTTAGGCGTCAAATTGCAAATGGCTAAGTTGTACTCCTGCAACAAAGTCCTGACAAAAGGATGAAGGGCAAAGCGCATTCCCTGCTTCATTAAACCCCAATATACAGCGGTAAACCCCGGAGGTGGAGTCGTGGGAGTGTCCCCATCTTCAGGAGCATACCCCACGTATTGGCCGGTTACACCATACTGCTCAATCATGAACCGTGAGATTTGGCCTAGGCGGATTTTTTCTTGAAACACCGCCCTCAACCCATAGGCTTGCAGGCCTCCCCCATGCGCGTTGCCCTGGTAATTGCGTTCTTCATTGTCCTGGTCTTCGGCAACCTCCATCACTATAACTACACCCTATGTTACATGGACTCGGGTACGTGAGTCGGACACGGACACGTGTCCGAGTGTCCGATTCGTCAATTTCCAAAATTTTAGGACACGGGGACTCTGTCCTATATTTGGACACGGGTGCGGGGACACGGCACTTTCATTTTTTGCAATAAAATTATACATTACAAAATATTTAATATTTCATTAATATTCAAAAAATTTACAGTTTGCAACTTTTCTGTTTTCATAATTTTCAATACATATTCTGATTTTTATGCACCCATATTACATATTGGATGACATTTCTTAATTTCTAACTACTTTCTTACATTGATACCAATCAGAACATAGTTAAATAGATATGTAACTCACAACATAAAAGCATTTTACCATGTACATTAGCTATACATCTATCAAACTAACATGGCCATGCAAAAGCAAAAAAGGCTACTAAATACTAACACTTAGTCACTAACAGTGCTAAAGCAATCCAAAATAAAGGAGTTTATTTAGATATCACCAGGGATCCTGAGCCTCCTTTCATCCAACTCAAACCTCTAACGTCATGGCTTCAATCTCAGGTTCATTAAGAGATAATTCCACCAGCTCCAAGATGTGATCTACATCCATGACATCTCCTCCTTACAAGTAAAAAAAAAAAGACAATACATCAGCAATTTAGAATAAGATTCTTTAAATTTAAGTTTAAAAATACTTTGTTCACAATAACTTACCTATGTCCCAATAAGAGCTTGGCCCCTCACGATACTCGTTTTTCTTCCTAGCAAGCAAACGGAGGTTCATATGCACATAAACCAAGTCTTCAAGTCTGCTAGAAGTTAATCTGTTTCTCTTAGTGGTTTGAATAGTTCCATATGTGCTCCAATTCCTCTCGCAACATGATGATGAGGCTGGTTGGGAAAGCAATTTAAGAGCCAACCCTTGGAGTAATGGTGTGGAAGCACCATAATTGGCCCACCATGACAGAGGCTCCTCTTCGTTCCTTGCATTCATGACATGAATTTGACCAAAGTAATCCAAACCACAAGCAAAAGCTCCATACTCCTTGTACACTTTTTTAAGATCATCCGGGTTAGGAAACAATCTACGAAAGCACAAATCTCTATTTATAGACACTTCTTCATCTTCATTAGGAGCTACTCGACGTACCCCATTGCTTGAAGCTTGCAACCAGCCCTCACTATAGTATTTAGGAACTAATGAGTGAGCCAAACAATGCAAAGGAGTGTTGCTCTTATTCCATAATGAATTGCATTGAAGAAGTTTGAGCTATCGGTTAGTATGTTTTTATCCTCTTGCTCAAATATAACTCTTTTCACTTCTTGTATGGTTGTGTCCCACATGTCATAAACATACGGTAGGACATTGGAATCCATATCTGCTACCCTTAAAAACTTCATCAAAGGCTCGGTGAAACTCAAGAAATAATCTACTTTGTCCCACCATCCATCACTGACTATCAAGTCTTTGATATCCCTTGCTTGGATTACAGTGGCAGATTTTCCAGTCACTTTAAAATTCTTCCAGTCCACATCCATAACCATCTTCTCAAGTGCTTCTTTGACCCTTCGAAGTCGCATGGCCATCACAATGTTAGAGGCAAATCTGGTTTCTGCAACTTTCAGAAGTTTGACATCAGAATATTGATCGAAAATTGTCTTTGACAGACCATGATTTGTGATGAACACATTGATCTCATTTACCTGAGAAACTAAGTCTTTTATCCATTTGCACTCTTCATAGTGAGAAGATTTCTCATTTGGCTCACAGATTGCTTTGATGGCCAAATTCACACAATGAACAGCACAGGGAGTCCAAAATATATGAGGGAATCTTTCTTCAATCTTACCACCTGCTGCCTTGTAATTTGCAGCATTATCGGTCACAATTTGCACAACCTTCTCATCTCCAATCTCTTCAATGATCTGAAAAAAAAATACCTGCAATATAGTCTGCACTTTTTTGTAAAACATCACTAGCATCCACAGCTTTCATGAACATCGGCCCTGCACCAGAAGCGACCATAAGGTTGATTAATGGCCTTGATTGGCCATCAGAGCAAATTGAAGCCCCCCTCTTCTTCCATGAATCTTTTATAGGCTGTAATAACTCTCCTACATGTGCTTTTAGTTGGGCTAAGAGAGTAGTACTAAGTCTTGTAGGGGTTGGAGGTCCATATCCACTTAAATTACCATTAGCAAGTCTTTGACAAAATGCTCTGAAATAGGGATTTCTTGCAAAATTAAAAGGAATAGCACCTGTGTAAAATGCCATGGCACATTCTTTATCTGCCTCCTCCCTCTCTAGGACATTAAATGAGTATTCTAAACTTCCTTTCCTTTTCTTATGTTGTATAATGTCAGACCCTTCAGGAAGTGATACATAGTCTCTTTATTGTTTTGCATTAAGTGCATGTTTTGCCTTTTGTTCTTCTGCCTCATCATATTCTTTCTTTATTTGGCGGTAAACATCATCAGAAATTATTTTACAAGCTTCAACACCTAGGTTAGGAATTTTTAATAAATGTCCTTTAAGTCTTGAGTAAGAACCAGTTACCTTCTTGCCACAATACTTGCATGTCCATACTCTGTTTCCACCTCCTCCTGTAGTTGTGAGCACTGTAACATGATTCCACAATGGTGCATTATCGAATCCGATGTTTTTTGTTGGACGATTGATGGGCTTCATTTGTTTTGGTCCTGGTAGTGAAATTACAGAAATAAATTAGGTTGCAACAACAAGCATTTTGTTACTGATTGTATAATAAACTGTCAAAGTGAATTAAAAACTCAAATGAAACAATTTAGCAAGAATCTGACTAATTATCTAGTAATTAGACGTGATAAAGGTCTTGATCTTGATCTTCTCTGAATAATTGGAGAAGAATGTGAGAGATAGTTTATGTAACTATGGTGTTGAGAGGGAAAATGAAATTTTGGGAGGGAATGGGGCTAGTTGTAATTGAATGGGCGGTGGAGATTAAATCATGGAAAAGTTTTTTTTGAAGTCATCATTGCAATACAGTGCTAGGCTTGTAGACCTTAAGGCTAGTGTGCTTCCACTAAGTCTAATGAATTATAATATTATAAGAAGAATCTAGTAATTGTTGTTAGGGGGGAAGACTCTAGTCATCTACCACAATTTCATCGTATGAGTATGTGGGTTTATTATTATTATTATTATTATTATTATTACTTAGTAATAAGTTTTAAGATGTTAAGTCCCTCAATTTCTAATTACTTAATAAGTTTTAACATGTTAAGTCATAGTTCAATATAATATTATCTAGTAAGTTTTAATAAGTTCAGACAAATAAGTTCATAAAGTATTACAAAGTACTTATAATAAGTTTAATCAACTATTATCTAATAATCTCTTATAGGTTAAGAAGTTAAGAGTAGTTAATAATAGTTCATTTCACTATTACTTAATTACCTTTATCTCACGATAGTCTAATAAGCTGGATCTTATAGGTTAACATTAGTTAACACTAGTACATACACATTCAATCTAACGATAATTACACCTTTTCATACTTTCTTTACTACTTAATCACCTTTTTCTCACGATAATCTAATAAGCTGGATCTTATAGGTTAACAGTAGTTAAGACTGGTATCCATTCAATCTAACGATAATTACACCTTTTCATGCTTTCTTTATTACATAATTACCTTTATCTCACGATAGTCTAATAAGTCGGATCTTATAGGTTAACAGTAGTTAAGACTGGTATCCATTCAATAGAACGATAATTACACCTTTTCATACTTTCTTTATTACTTAATGACCTTTATCTCACGATAGTCAACCGGATCTTATAGGTTAACAGTAATTAAGACAAGACTGGTATCCATTCAATAGAACGATAATTACACCTTTTCATACTTTCTTTATTACTTAATCACCTTTTTCTCACAATAATCTAATAAGCTAGATCTTATAGGTTAATAGTAGTTAAGACTAGTTCCCATTCAATCTAATGATAATTACACCTTTTTATACTTTCTACATTATTTAATCAACTTTTTTTTTTTTTTTACAAACTTACATTTTTTATTCTTTCTATTACTCTATCTTAATTATAATAAGTTACATTCTTTATTACAACCTTCGTGTTTAAATAAATAAAACATTTTTATTTTTTTACTATTCATCTATTATTATTATTATTATTTTTATTATTATTTTTATTTTATTATTATTATTGTTACCTTTTGTTCTTTTTCTTCACCTTAATTTTAGTCTTATTTATTTCTTACTTTTTTTTTTGAAGAATTATTTATTTATTACTTCATACTATAAATTTTTTGTCTTTATATATAACTTATTATGGTTTATTTTTTTGTTTTTTTTTTGTTTTTTTGTGAATTATATATTTCATTTTGGGTGTTTTTTATTTGTTCTATTTGAAAAGATTCTTTCTATATATCAAAAATATTAGACAAATTTACCTTACTAGGTTATTATTTCAACAATGTCCATATATATTTTTTATTAATTTTCGACATTTGTACCCAGTTTATTACGAGTATTTAATACGTTGAAAAGTAAGTAGCATAACATTCCAACACACAATTATGTCTAACAATTTTTAATAAAGCAATTGACATTATAATCCACTTGACCACTACTACTTTCCTTATTACCCATTATTTACCCATACATCAAACCAAATGTAACAATATACGTGAGTTCATTTTTATTTTCTTAACAATATAAACTCCTTTTATATCAAACTCTCAAAAGTCACATGGATACCCAAAAAAAAAAAAGTTTTAAAATTTAGGATATATTGCACACTTTTCCAAGTATAAAATATTTAAATATTCATATTGACAATTTTTAATCACAATTGACAACTCTCCTATTTTTAAAATCCATAAAAACACCTATAAGGGGCAATTATCTATTTTTTCACTAATGGTAATTTTTTCAGCAAGTTTTTTTTTTTTTTTTTTTTTTAAATTGAGTATAAGTGTTTCCACTTTTTTTTTTTTGAGGGATAAGTGTTTCCACTTCATCATAAGTTAAAAAATAAAAATTTCCAAACAATTGCTGAAAAAAAAAAAAAGAAATGTTTTCAGAAAAAATAAATAAATAAATATAAGAAACAAAAAAAAGGGAAAAGAAAGATACGGAGTACATAGCAAGTTACAAACAAGATAAAGTCCCTTTACTAAATTACTTATCTTATAAACAAAAGTTAGTAGTACAGCTGTATAGTACTTTTTTTTTTTTTTTAATTCTTATCTCTATTTTGACTGTCTTCTCCTCTCTTTTTCACCCATTACTTTCTTTCACCATTTTTATGAGCTCAAATGGCTTCCTTCTTCAACTTCTTGTCTTCTTCGTCTCTTTTCCTTTTCTAATTATTTTTTCACCATTCTTCATCTTCAAAATGACATGGCTTCATGATTTTCCCATTAAAACCTGCCAAAAATATGAATTAGGATGTGAAATTTTCAACAGAAGATAAATTTTAGATCTAAAGAGGGAAAGGTTGCCGGCCTGCCGCAAGTCCACCTCCACAGATGGTACCGAACTGCCGACAACCAGTACACAGCGGAATTATGTATTTATTTATTTATTATTTTTTTTTTAATAAAAAAATTCAGCTCTGTTTCACACTTTCTCCCATTCCTCTCTGTCTCTCTCAAGTGTCCGGGATCAAACAGCCGAATCTGACACGAATTCCGTGTCCGTGTCCACGTCATGTCATGTCGACACGGACACTTTGGGTTTTTTGCCGAGTCCGGTGAACATAGACTACACCATTCACAAGGAGCCTATTAAATAAACCATCTCCCTCTGAGAAGGCCACAGTCACCTCACCCGGACCATAGTCCTCATCATAAGACGAGTACGGAGATCCGCTAGGGAAATCCGGCAACACATCGGCATGGGGGATACCGGAGGTAGCAGAACAATCTTGTGCTACTTCCACGGCGGGTTCACCTTGTTCAACCCACCATGGTTGTCTAATGCTGGAGGAACTTGACGATGATGCCATTAAAGAAAGAAAGCATAAAAGAACAAAGGCGTACCTTAAAGTGTAGTGTCTTACAGCTAAATGAAGCTCCTGCTGATGCTAAATCATGATCACCGCCTCGACTACCTCCGAACAAGAGCGCACAAGCTTCCTTCCGCCAAACAGTGTTGCAAACGCTTTCTCACACTAACTTTTATCACTACTTTCTCTCACTAGAAATCTTTTGCGAATGAAATTGTGAATGAGAAATGTGTGTTTATGTGGCTATATAAAGAGAAACATTTGCCTCGAAATGAGCCAAAGGACACTTGTTACTCATGCGAAGGAAGGGTGTCACATAGGGAAGGGTGTCACAAGACACTTGTTACTCATGCAGAAGAGTATGTATACTTATCATCGCCCCCCAAGGGGCTCTTAGAAAGCATCAATTATATCATCGCCCGTCATAGGGGCTCATTATGGGGTGGTCCAAGCCCGTACCATTCCAAGGTAGGCCTAAAAATGAGACGTAATCGAAAAAATGGCATTTTTACCATGCTAGAGGACTTTTTTCGCAATTTTGTGGGCCGAAGCTTCTTTGGAACTTCGGCATCACGTGAAGCTCGGAAAAATACACAAGTTAAAAAAAAAAGTTTGTTCGATTCGGACACCCAGGGACCAAGTTATGGCCTCCCGAAGTATTCGTCAAAATTTACTAAATAACGGACAACATTGCTTTCCGTGGGTGACGAGATGGGTCATTTTTAAGCATTCTTAAAAATAATATATGGTTCTCGAGACACTCCATCACCCACATGACACCTGAGCGCCAAAACGACCTCTTTTATGAGTTGCAAAGACGTGCAAACGCGATCAAAAAAGTCCAAAGCCATTGGCCGAGGGTTGAATCATCGCCCATAAAGATAAGGGGCTACAATGCACAAGAAGATTATCGCCCACCATGGGTTGGCCTAAGTCAAAATCGCCGCCCTCCAAGCTAGGGCTAGGCCTAACGTGTGCTGGTGCGAGTTGTAGGCATCAGCGCCCAACAAGCATGCTAGGCATCAGTGCCCAGCAACGCTGCCAGGCATCAGCGCCCAGCAAGCCTGCCATGCAGCAGCGCCCAGCAGCAAACCGCCAGGCATCAGCGCCCAGCAGCATCAGCGCCCAGCAGCAGCTATGCCTGCCAGCCAGCATCAGCAAGCTGCGTGCCAGGTCTGCCAGGCAGAGCGCCCACAGCGGCTAGCTGCCTGCGAGGCAGCATCAGCGCCCAGCAGCGGCTAGTTGCCCGCCACGCAGCATCAACGCCCATCAAGTGTGCTCGACTACCAAAAAAAAGAAAAAAAAACTTTTACGAAGACGTGACTTAAATACAGCCTATGTCACCGGGTCGATTGATTTCATTCGATCAATATTTTTTCGACAAACTCCCAAACCGCAGAGTGCGCTTTACGACTTTGTCGTGGGGCTAATGTTTGGACCCCTGTAGGCCCACGTTCATTAGATACAGAAATTACCAAAATGCCCTTAGTTAAACCCTAAACAGGTAAATTCAATCATCATGCACAGCACGCATCCCGAAAAACCCTAATATAGCCCAACAGGGCCTAACACGGCCCAAAACGGCCGGAAACCCTATTCCTAACCCTAATCAAGTTAATTAATCCTCTCCTATAAATGCTAATCTTCACAAATTAGCAAGGTAATTAATTTTTCCACACACTCTCTCTCTACAAATTCTCTCTCTAAACACAGTTTACTGACTTGACCGTCGGAGGGGCTTTCTCGGGAACACCCCCCGAGGCAGTTGACTTTTGTTGTTTTGCAAGACTCGGTTTGACCAAACGAGCAGGCTCCCCTACAACTCCGATCCGAAATTCTTTTGCAGAAACAGATACAAAGTATCATTTATCCCTTACATAGTCCAAAATTCTCTTCCTATCATATATTCCAACTAATTACAGATATGAATCAAGAACAGGAAACTTACTGTCTCATAAATGAACAAACTAACTTTTTGTATAATAGTCTACCCTACCACCATATATGCAACAATTGTCACCATCATAACACAACTACCAAACATACCTCCACACCTTTATCCTTCAAAGCCTTGATCTCTTTTCCAGGAAGACCAATCAAATCCTGCTTAAGCTTGTGCTTAACTGAATAAACTACATATCCCTACATATCCCTCCACCATATCATATAAATGAACAAATTATACTTGGTTAATAGCTCGAGGATATCTTTGACCCACACAGATGAGGTGATAAAAGGGGATATAACTAAAAAGGGAGTACTTCGTACCTGAGTGGGAATGACATGATATGTCTTAAATGCTTTAACTTTAAGATCCCTCCTAATATAAAATTCTTCTCCTGAAAATCATAAAAAAAAAAAAAAAAAAAGTGAAAGCAGAGTAATTTAATAGAAACAGTTGGCATGATCATTGAAGAGAACAAGCTTGGAGGGAGTTATGTAGAATAAAAATGTGAATCTAATACGAACATTACCCACATCTAGACCAACTAAATTATTCTTCAGCTCAGATTGGTCCATTGCTCTATTGCTCTGTGTACATCAAAAACCTTTCCACATCCTCTTTTATAGCTTTAGGCACAAAAATTGTAGGAGGTTTCATAGAGAACAATCCACGAGTAGCAACATACATCGGTAATCCTCCCTGATATACATATCACATTACACTGTACATCTAGTATTTAGGAGATGGACACAGCTCAAAAATACTCCAAAGTAGGTCTACTTGAAAGAGCATTTGGCTGTGTAAAAAAAAAAAAGATAAAAAAAACAGAGAGACACACACAAAAAAAAAAAAGGAAATTATCAATGGTACACCCAAGGTTCGGGCTTTTATCAATGGTACACCAACTTAGTTTTTGTTTATCAGCGGTACACCCAAGGTTTAATACACTCATCTACACTAACCCTAACATTAATCAAACGTTAATTAAAGGTTAATTTTAGGTTAATCCACTTAAAACGAAATGACTAATTTGCCCCCCTACTCCAAATACATTAAATCGCTCCTTTCAAACCACAACTACCTATATTAAAAACTCCTAAGTCAGAAGATCGTTCATCTTCTTCTTCCTTCTCACTCTCTCCCCTGTTTCTGCTGTTGTGAGGTTCCATAATCGACGGGCGAATTGAACAAAATTCTAGCAAATTCTGCACTTCATTGTTGATCGCTTAAGGTAAGTTTTCATCTGAGTATTTGATTTTCCAACTTTCGCTTAGTTTTGGTAATATATGAATTTTTTGTTTAAATGGTTGAATTTTGGTTTCCATGTACAATTGTTAGCGAATTATGGTTTAAATTATGCACAATGTGCTTGTGATTATTATTTGTTGCTTTAATGTTGTATTTTTTGCACAAATAATTCGAATTGGGTGTGTTTGAGTAGATATATGTATGTTTGTGTGTTAAAAGGGAAAATCAGAAAGGAGGGAAACTATATATAGAGGAAGAGGGGGTGGGTAGGGTAGAGTACATAAAGGAGGGGAAAATGAAGAGGGGAAAAAAAGGGAGGGAATTTTTTAAGTTTAAAAAATCGAATTAAACCCCAACTTAACCTTTACTTAACGTTTGTTTAACGTTAAGTGTATAGTTGATAATCGTGTGAAACCTTGGGTGTACCGCTGATAAACAAAAACTAAGTTGGTGTACCATTGATAAAAGCCCGAACCTTGGGTGTACCATTGATAATTTCCCAAAAAAAAACAGAGCATATGGCAAAATATATATATATATATATATATATATATATATTAAAAAGAGAAGAATAATCATTTTCAGAATTCAATATTAGCAAAAGAAACTATCCATTACTTTGTTTACTTATCAACAGATGATTAAAGAGACAATCTGTTCCATTTGCTATACAATTACTCGAACGACTGAGGGACGGGGAAGGGAGTAATATACATTCTTAAAACAGAGCACAGTAATTCAGTAAACATTTTATAAAAAATCTCCACATCACTGTTAACTCAAGAATTTCATCGAAACTCGTATAAAAAACCAAATAAAGATTATGGCTGAAAGCCTAAAACTCAAGAAATAAAAGTCGACAAAAATTAACCAAAGATCAAAAAAATTCAAACACAAGAAAAAACCCATGAAATACAACAAAATCAAGATTATATAGAGAGCAGAAGAGAAGACATACAATGTGGTCCATATGACCATGGGAGATAAAAAGGAAGTCTTGAGAAATGGCACATTGAGGGCACCTTCCGATATCGAAAGCGAGGTTGAGAGAAGGGAAGATAATGCATGTTTCTTGGCCAGCAATTGATAAACCCTCAATTTGATATCCTTGTATATTTATTCCTCTTTTCTTCTTCTTTGTTGCAGAGTACGCTTCCGAGTTCGACTCGTCATTCTTCGGCTCCATTGACATATTTGATACTATTCAACACCTTCTTTACCGCCGTTCCAAGGCTCTCCCTATCTCCTCCCTTCCTCTACTTCTTCCGCCACAGTAGAAAAGAGTGAAGATAAAATTTGGGTATTGAACTTTAATCAATGTTGCAGATTGGGTACTGGACTTTGGTACTGCCTGATTGTTACCTCTTGTAACTGCTTACCAAGCATTAATGATTCTACAAAAAAAAAAAAAAAAAAAAAAAAAATTAAGTACAGAATGTCAATAACGTTTTTGGGAGAAGACAAAATGTATGAAAATTGAAAAGTAGCCTTACAAAAATTGCAACCATATAAAACTGAATATTTAACCAAAACAGCAGCTATCTTCAGCAAAATAATCAAATTGTGACCCTAACCTAAATTACCAACACATTTTTTTATCAAAGTTTCAATTTTTAACACAGAATCAAAACGAAAAAGTATCAATTAGGTGTGAAGCTCGAGAAAAGCAAATCGGCAATGAAAATTCATTATAAAAAGCTATTAATTGTAAACACCACCATAAAATTGAATTATCAACACAAATTTCAATTATTTTTTTTAATAAATCTCAAATTTATCAATAACAAAATTTCCATGATAAAAGTATATGTATATAAATATGTAATATATGGAAAAAAAAAAAAAACACGAGAACATTCATAACCATCATAATTATACTAGTCTAATTATTCACAGGAATCCAAATTACTAACATCAAATATACTAACATAAGTTCAAAACTATCAATTATACACCAAAAAAAAAAAAAAAAAAAAAAAAAAAAAAAAAAAAAAATAATAATAATAATAATAATAATAAATATTACACACAAAACAAAAATCCCAATATACACAAATGAAATTAAAAACTATCAATCATCATTAAAAAAAAAAAAATAAAAAAAAAAACCCCAATAAGCAAGAATCTAGCTCTGCAATCAATTATTCAATTATATTTCAAATTAGCAATTATCAATTAGATTAAAAACTACGGAGTAGTAAATTTAACTCACAATGTGTCTGCCGGGAAGCTCGGGCTCAGGTGAGTGAGCGACTGTGCGTCTATGCAGCAGGAAGCAGGAATTCCGGAGGGCGGCGGTCGCACACTGCAGTTCGGTGTCGTGGGCGGCGGTCGCACACTGCAGTTCGGTGTCGTGGGGTGCGCGTGCGGCGTGTTGAGTTCGGAGTGTGGGGCAAAATAAGAAATTGGGAGTAGTAGGAACTGTTCTCAAGATTATTTTGGTTCTCAATTCAATTCTTAAGTAGTAGTGAAGCGTTGCCCGGATTGTTACTATTGTAGACGTACAATAATTTTTTTTTAAAGGGTTTTCAAAATTGCAATTGTCATTGTCAAATCAAAATTGTGGTATTTTTTGAATAATGAATATAGTTTTTTTTTTTATTTATTTATTTTAATTGAAAATTGTGGTTTGTACTTATATAAAAAAAATTTCCATACAAATACCATAGTTTTTTTTTTTTTTTTTTTTGAAAGAACAAATATCATAGTTGATATTGGCTTAGATGGTTAAATAGTCATATGTGTAATAGGAGGTTGAGGATTTGAACCTCTTTATTTCTTATGTTTTTATATGGAGTAATATTAGATGTGATAATATTAACTTTTTTTTTAATTCTCCTAGTTTTTTACTAGGGTTTTCCCTCTAGAATTCTCCTTGGGAGGGTTTTT